TCTATGACGCCACAAGCGTTTAGGACAACCCAGCAAACATCCTTATGCGATGGGGTCAACCAAAGGTTAGCTGATATGAGGTTTGCGTTTACCTCGTTTGAAACCGAAAAATAGAAGATGCAATAGGTGCATGAATGAGCTGAATACACTTTTTCTTAGTAAATTGATCAACACGGGAGATGCTTGAGTACAGCAATCACAGCTATTTTCTTATTTCCTAGAAATTTGCCAATATATTTGCATTTTCATGCTAAATTCTGCACAGAAAAACTTGAAGAGGAAATTAGTACTTAGACAAGTTATGGTGAATACATTGTTTTCAAATTACATCTTCGTTTCTCTCGATAAATTATACGCGTAACTTTACTGAAAAAAATTATGCGAAAAAGTCCTGTTAGTCCAAAAAGTCCTGAAAAAACGTACCAGGCAAACGAAACAGTGGTATGTTCTCGCTGCTGCTCGGCTCCTCGTCCATGTTAACCAAATTTGCTTTCGGAGATGCGTTTTCTGTGAAGCTCATTCGACTAATGGCATGATCGGACAATGTGCAGTTGGATGGCAATTGATGGGCGCATTTATTGTGAACGTTCACCTGGATATATGCGTAGTTAAATTTTTCTGCTTCTTCACACAAAGACCTCAGATCCTTTTCAAGTAGCATATCCTCTTTGCGAATTTCTCATAACTTCAGTAAAGAGGTTAACTACCTTTGAAAAAATTACAAAAACGAGAAAAAGAAGAAAAAAGATGTCTTGCTTACTCCACAATCTCTGCATTTCAGTCCTTGCCTAATAAGGCCTTTGAGCATTTTGTCACAAATTTTGCACTTGGTTGGCGTCAGATAGTTGTTTTCGACGAGTGTGTGCGGCAGTTCCAGAGCAGCACCTAGGCATCCACTCTAGCTTTTTTCGGGTGTTTACAATAAACCAACATACTTGATGTTCCTGATGGCATTGGGCCTCCTATGCCAATGCCACCGGGTCCCAATGGGACAGGGCTCATAGTAGAAAGGCCAGGAGTCGCCAGGACACAGTTGTTCCGAGGAGCTTCAGTGCAACGACGATGGAAGTTACATCTGAATAGACTTTCAATAGTTTGCTATGTTTTCTGCATTTGTTCGCAACCCACTTGCACGCGACGCAGTGCAATCCTTGACGCATGAGGCCCGTAAGCATAGCTCCGCAGAAATCACAGAACGTTAACGTCATGTAGTTTTTGACCTAAAAATTCAATTCCAAGCCAGATTCAAGAAAATGTCAAAAAAGGCAGACCTCAAGAACATGGGGTCGAGTTGGTTTCTCGTTTCGATCCACTACGATCACTTCTACAATGCAGCCATTGTTCTGAAAAAATTATTCGCGTTTTGCAAATCGGATAAGGCAACGTTCGGCTCATAAGGAAGAGGTTGATTTGATGAAAGTCTTTGTCTTCCTTATTTATTATTTTCATTCAGTCTAGAAATTTCCTAACAATTTCTTTCATCCAAAAATTGTGTATGCGATCGTTGCTGATGTTACATGATGTGGCTTCTAGAACGAACTCCTTCTTGCTTTCGAAATTTGCGATCTCTCCAGCTCCAATCATTATTGTTTACGTAACAGTGAAGAATCTTAAAGGGAAAACCGTGCAATACTGATTTGGGTAAATTCTTCAGCGCTTATAGGCAATTCACCTAACATTAACATGGGTGAACTGACAATGATGTTGCCCTGAAACTTGCTGCTGCACTCTACGTTTCGTTGCTAGATTCACTTTCTGAGAGTTGCGTGAGATGGCGCGGACATGAAGATCTGGCGTAAATTGCTTAGAATCCAGCAAAAACTTAATTTTTTTAGAGTTCTTGTGCAGAGATCCCGTTCATCTATAATTTTTTACATTTAAATTAAGCGGTGTTACTTTGCAGGTCTCTATGCAAAGGTATTTCACTTGTTTTGTGCCTAGTGTCCCTCTTTGTTTCTCACAATGCTACTAGGGCTATTACAACGGTTCCATCACATTTTCTAAACCTTTTTTTTGAAAGGTTAAAGGTTGCCAATAGAATAGATTTGTGCTGTGTACGCCGAGCCAACGAGGTTTTAGTAATGGAATTTTTTAAAAGACCTGACGTTTCGACGTTGTTCATCTTCTCCAGAGCTTTTAATGGACCACAGATTGTTTTATCTGGCCATCATATTACTAGCAGCCGCCTCTCACCCTGCTAAATCTAGACTTTGTCTACGGCGGGCGTTGCGAGATCACCAAAGAACCATGACCATAAACTCTTCAGCTGAGGCGAGAAAACTATAACGACAGTTCGTTACCATTAGCGCCAATCCTTCGTCCTTTTTGAAAAAAATTTGAGCCATGCCGCTTCTTAGCACCCGGCTGCTAATACGAAATTTAGCGTTCTTAGCCTTGAAGTCCTGAAGGTTTTCAGAAAATTTCAAACATCATCGCTAGGTCGACTTGACGCTTTGTCAGTGACAAAGCATCAAGGAACTGCATGAATCCATAAAGTTTATGGCATACGGTGGAACAGCGAGATTCTATGTACTACCCTTCTAATGTGCGAGACTGAGATTTGCACAAAAATGCTTGAAGCAGTATGGATAAATGAATGCCTGTTGATCAGCAATAAAATACTGCCCATTCTTATCTTTGTGTGAGCTTAGATGTGCGCACAAAGGATTGGGTAGGCGCGACAAGCTTGCAAATCGAGCAAGGGACCTTGCTATCTAGGTCCGTTGCTCGATTTGCAAGCTTGTCGCGTTTTGGTGAGATACAGGTTGGTTCGTTTCAATTTTTGATAATATCAAAATGCTCCCCCTTGACAAAGTCTATATTTAGCAAGGTTAGACGCAGTTTCAGCAATATGATGGCCGGCTGACTCTACATTCAGAGCTCTGAAGAAGATGAACGTCGAAATATCATGCCTGATAAACATTTAATTATCTAATCCTGGTCGACTCGCCGTTAACAAAGTCTAGACTTGACTCAGCTACTACTAACACCACAACTAACTACACAAACAAGATGCCTACGTTTGAAAAAAAAAAAAA